TGTTGTATCTGGAGACTAACCTTTTGTGATTCATGGACACAGGGTCCTTTCTGAACCACAGCATTTTGCTGTCTCTCTTCATTTAACTAACATCCTACACTTCTCACCAAAGTAGACAACCTCTCATTTTCCTACATTATGCTGCATCAGCTAAATTTGCCGCCTGTTCACGTAACCTGTCAAGATCCTTTCATAAACACTTTCCATTCTCTTGTGTGTGGCACCTTGTCAATTCCTTTTAGGGGGAAAGAGCAGGAAATTGTCCTGATACACTGACCATACCTGATCCCCTCTCTCTTCAGCTCCGAGCAGAGCTAGATGTAAAGCAGTCCACATAACCTCCAAACGGACAGGCATAACTCTGGCCTGTGCAGGTACCCACTGCATCATACTGTACTGGAGGTGGTGAGAAGTTAAAAGAGAAGCTGTTTAATGAGATAACAAGTTCTGCCAAGCGGAAGTGGATAGTGATTCATGGAAATTGATGGACGTCTGTTCAAGAATGAACGTCACCCTAGTGGGGATGAGATATAGAGACTAGATGTCCATGTGAAGAGAAAATTGTTAGGACCAGAAAATTGGAAACTGTTGAAGGGTATCAGAAGAGTAGTGGAGATCAGACAAGGAGAGAAAAGAAAGTCAGGATAGGAAGAAAGCAGTTTAATCGGGCCAGATCAGGTTGAAATGAAAGATCTACCAGAGCAGTTCTGTTTATGGATCTTGGGAAGAAAGGAGAAGCAGGTTGTATTGCTTTGGGGGATTGTAAGGTAGAAAGCTGTGGAGGAATAAACTCCAGGGGAGGTCCATGAACACCTGAGAAATAATGTTTCTTGATGTTTGATGGAGGAGTCATGGTCTAGGAGAGGTAGATGGAGAGCTTAGAATTGGCATTCAGCCTTTGCTCAGTAGTGGCCAGCATGCCAGACATCATCACTGTCATCAGCAGGTTTGATAACAATGTTACTGTCCGACATGAGAGTGCAGCAAATTCAAATGGAGCCAGGATGTAGTGAGACATTAGAGAAGTTGAGACAGCTGATGTCACACCAGCATCATTTTTTCTTTATTTTTTGAGGAGATGTAGCATCGCTGGCATGGCCAGCCAGTGTCCTTAACAGAGGGCAGTTAAGAGTCTACCATGAGATGAAGGAAATTAGTGAACCAGATGGGCTTTTACAACAATGACAGTTATGATGATCATAATTACTAAGACTAGCTTAATTTCCAGATTTATTTTGTGGAATTTGAATTCCACAAACTGCCGTGGCAGGATTTGAACCTGTACCATCAGGCAATTAGCCCGAATTACAAGTCCAGTGACATTATTACAACATCCATTAAAATAAAAAGAAAGATCAAGAGAGGGTCAAGAGATTGTGGGAATCTTTGACTTCTTTACTTGTCTCCTTGCTAATTCCTTTGGCTCTGGCCCAGAACTCTTGTCATTTAATGTCCCCTGTCTTCCACCTTCTCCCACTACACAACTTAAGACCCATTACATTTCTAACTTTTCCCAGTTAGAATGAATAGCACAGCCATAGAGTCAGAGTTACACAGCATGGAAACAGACCCTTCAGTTCAACAGTTCAGCTGACTAGACATACTGGACTGATCCACTCCCAGTTGCCAACATTTGGCCCATATCCTTCTCAGCCTTTTCTATTTGCGTATCAATCCATGTTGTGATAAATGTTGTGATTGTACCAGCCTACACCACTTCTGGCAACTCCTTCCATATATGCACCATCCTCTGTGTGAGGAAGTTACTCCTCAGCTCCCTTTTAAATCTAACCTTAACCGTATGCCCTATAGTTTTGGCCTACCCTACCCTGGGAACAAAAGACTTCGGCTATTCACCCTGCCCATGCCCCTCATGCTTTTGTAGACCTGAGGCTCCTGAGCCTCCAAACCTCCCAGGAAAATAGCCCCAGCCTATTCAGCCTGTCCCCATAGCTCAAACCCTCCAATCCTGGCAACATCCTTGTAAATCTTCTCTGAACACTTTCAAGTTTAACAACATCTTTCCTATAGCAGGGAGACTAGAAATGAACGCAGTATTCCAAAAGGAGACTAACCAATGTCCTGTACAGCCACAAAAATGACACCTCAACTCCTATACTCGATGCACTGAACAATGAAGGCAAATGTATCAAATGCCTGCAATATTAATTATGTTAATTTCTCCAAATGCTGCCTGACCTGCTGAGTAGATCTGCATTTTCTATCTTGATTTCTGATTTTCAGCATCTGCTCTATTTCTGTTTTGGAAATCTAAAAATATGCAGGTATGTCAAATCAAAAACAAAGTTATAAAGGTGATGAGAATTACAAAAAAGAAGATTGATGAAAACAGATCTCAGCCAACCACCACCACTAAGATAATTGCAATAACTGCAAAACAAAATCAGAACCATGCAAATAGGAAAAAATATTGCACATGCTAGGAATGTGAATTTAAAAAAATCAAGTGTTGAAAGAACGCAGCAGGACTGCTAGTACCCATGGAGAGAGATACAGTTAATGTTTTGAATCGAAGTGTTCCAAAGAAGAGTCATATCAAACTTGAAACGTTAACTCTGTTTGTCTCTTCACAGATGGTGTCAGACCTTCCGACTTTTTCCAGCATTCTCTAACTTTATTTCAGAATCATACAGTATCCTCTTTGACAAGATAATATGTAGACTCCCGTATCAACCTAACCAAACAGCAATCAACACAGCAGACAGAAGTAATCTTACATTCATTTGAAAATTGTGGTACTAAAAAAATGAATAAGTTAGTGGCAGAATGAGCATCATCAAGCATAGTGGAATTCAGCACACAAATATTTGCATCAAACTGTAGGATATGTAAGCGTCCAGCTAAAAATATCAAATTAATGATTCCATTCAGCTTCCACCAGTACACAGCCAGATCCAGCCAATTTGTTTCACGCCATATGGCATTAAAAGATGTATTGGCCCAAAGCTGCCAGTTTGGCAAATATCAACATGTGATGAAAAGTGAAATGACTTGCAATTCATTATTGATGATCATCTCTTCAAGTTAGCCAGAAGTGAGCTTTTACTGTACTATAACACAAGTCTCGCTGTCAAATTGAAAAATTTCAGCTAAGAATGTCTCATTGAGAAATATATTGCAACTCAGTAAAAAGCTTCAGTGCCAATTTTTCCCCAGTGATAACTGTGGCCAACAATTCAGCAGCAGGTCAGTGCTTTTAATTGGTCTGACTGATTATATGCAGTTGGCTCAGTACAAACCATTATATGCCAACATTCAGAATGATTGTGTGCAGTCAAGTTAGTCCAGCAGGTGCAACGTGCCAATTGGACTCCACATTCAAAAGTCAAAAACCATGGAGATCTGATGATTGGCATTCACTTTTATCAACACCACTCCAAAGTGGATCTACAAAAACAAGCTGGAACCAAAGCTTCAGCAACCTTCTAAAGCCTTCACTTTAATGTGTAAAAGACCAACTTACCACTAACATTTACATGACATAAATAGTTATCCGGCCATTCTACATTTAAGCAAAATATAACAGTACATAAATCTCAAGCAAAATGTATTTCACAAATTGCCCCCTTGAGAATAATGCTGCATTGCATCAAGGGAATAATTAATGGATCATCAAGAGGACAATTAATGGATCAATTAAAATGAATAAGAACAAAACATCTGAACAGCCCAATAAATAATGAAACTATACCTAGGGTACAGCACAGAGATTCATATATTCTGCATATTTAAGAAAGGATGTACTTGGATTGGAGTTGTTACAGGCAAAAGTTCACTAGGTTGGTTCCTGAGAGAATAATTCAAGTGAATTGGGCCTATCCCTTTTGGGTGTTAATAAGAGTGGATCCTATTTTTGGTGAGATTCCCGAAAACATTGTGCCTAGCCAACTGAAAGATGACACCTTCAACAGTGCAGTGCTTTCTTGATACTGTTTCTCTCTCCACAGATGCTGCTGTACCTGAGTTTCTCCAGCACTTGGTTTTTAATTTCTTATTTATGTTTGTTCAGTTCTGTCTTAAGAGTCAGAGTCATTAAATAACTATGCAAAAGGCTGCAACAAGCAGTAGCCTAGGTGGAACTCGGTGAATTTTGTTATTCCCTCTAATAAAACACTGCTCTTCTGATCAGTAAAGCAGCAAGTTGTTAATGACATATGGGCAATAATGTTTTTAATCCAATAACTGGGATACAATATGTAAATAATTTGAGATTTAGAGTGTATAGCATGCTCAGAAGGAAGAGCAGACCATAGTCCCCAAGAGATTTCACCACATTCAAGACTGTTGCAGGATTTTAAAAAATATTATTATACTTCATGTTAACTCTTTCTCCCTCTCCATAGATGCTACCAGACATGCCGATTTTCTCTAGCATTGTTTTTATATCTGATGTAGACTAATTGATAGAGGTGGATTGCTATAATTATTCAACATCTACGTAATCCGTGTATCATGTGACTTTCAGGAGAGTCTTTAAAAATGGAGTCTTTCCTCCATCAATCCTTTTTATGTTAACACCTGAAATTCTCATTCGTTCCCAATTCTCCAGCTGTGAGTAGTTCAGTGTAATATAGCAACAGATGCACCCACATTGCTGAACTGAAAACCCACTGCAGCACACTATCCGTGCCTAATGCTGCCCTGAACAAGTGTGGTATTGTTTTTAGACAAAACGTTACAACCAGGACTCGACGGCTCCCGAAGATGATAGTACAAGATCCTGTGGTTCTTTTGCAGAACAGCAGGGGAATTTTCGACAGACTCCTAGCCAATATTTACACATGAACTACAGATATCACCAACAGGAAAAAACAGATTGTGGGATCCTTTTGTGCGCAATTTGGCTGGTGTGTTTCCCTGTATTACAAGATTGTTAAAGACATTTTCAAGATTACTTCCTGGGCCTTAGAGAGGAGTACTCGTAGTGAAATTAAAGAAAGTTGCATCCTCTGAGCCCCAGTCAATGGAAAAAAACTTACATGACAGAAGCAGTCCTCGGCCTCGGGGCCGGCGTCGATCGGGGACACGGGCTGGTTAAACCCGGCGCTTCCGCCTGCGACACTGCCCAGGAGGATGATCAGGACAGCACCGCTCCTCATCGCCCCTTCGGCCTGCTGAGCTTCAGATCATCACACGCAACAGCCTGGCTTTGCACCGTCCCGCTTGGTGCTGAGACGAGGCCAGCAGCCCGGAACAGGAAATTGGAGGGGATTCTGTGGGGAGCTGTAAGACCGAGTGGCTCTCCCCACAGGCGAAGGAACAAGCGGAGTATCAACAATTCAAGGCCAGCACCACCCACACACCCACACACCCACAAAATGATGCTGCGGGGGCGCTTTATATTTCACGCATGTCTTTCATTGTTTGTCCGCTGTGGGGGTGGGCGAGTAATGCTTTATGGGTTTCTTCTTCCTTACGGTTCCCAGAGGTTCAAAATAAACATACAATTCTGAAACTTTATCGAATGCATTTTATATGTGTTACCATACATTGCGAATGATATTTTGTTCATTGGCTCCTTGACTGCAATGTTAGAAATCATAGCCAAAGGATGACAGGTAGCTCAGTGTTCCTAGGTACAGGAAAGATAGTAGGGGAAGCGAGAGTAAATTGGGAAGTACAGTTTTTGATTAGGGGAAAAATCACGGCAATACTTAGGATATACCTGAGAGATCGTCCACTGAAGCGATATGGGTGGAATTGAGAAATAAGAAGGGGGTGATCACTTTGATGGGGTTATACTTTAGACCCTCCCAATAGTCAGCCGGAAATTTGAGGAACAAATAAGTAGTGAGATCACAGATAGCCGTAAGAATAATAGGGTTTGTAATAGTAGGAGATTTTAACTTTTCAAATATAGACCGGCGCTGCCTTAGTTTTAGGGGCTTGGACGGGGAGGAATTTTTCAATGTGTTCAGGAAATGTTTCTCAATCAATGCATTGATGGCCTACTAGGGATGGGGCAAAACTCAACCTCCTCTTGGGAAATAAGGCAGGGCAAGTGAATGAAATGTTAATGTGGGAGCACTCTAGGACCAGTGACCATAATTCTATTAGTTTTAAAATAGTCAGAGTCATGCAGCATGGAAACAGACCCTTCAATCTAAGTCGTCTATGGTGACTAAGCTTCCCACTTGCCTGCTTTTGACCCACATCCCTCTAAACCTTTCCTATTTGTGTACCAATCCAAATGTCGTAACTGTACTTACATCTGCCCCTTCCTCTAGTGTTCTTCCTCATTCCACGTACAAACCACCATCTGTGTGAAAAAGTTGCCCCTTGGGTCCCTTTTAAATCTTTTTCCTCTCACCTTAAAAATATTCTCCTTAGTTTTGAACTCCTCCACCCTTGGGAAAAGACCTTTGCTATTCACCTTATCTATGCCCCTACTGATTTTACAAACCTCTATACGATCACCCCTCAACCTCCCAAGCTCCAGTTAAAAAAGTTCCAGCCCATCTTTGTAAGGGAAACCCTCCAGTCCCAGCAACATCTTGGTACATCTTTTCTGCACCCTCTCCAATTTAATAATATCCTTCCTATATCAGGGTGACCAGAACTGCTCACACTATTCCCAAAGAGACCTCACCAACGTCCTGTATAACTTCAACATGACGTCTCAACTTCTATAATCAATGGTCTGAGCAATGAGGGCAAACATGCTAAATGCCTTCTCAGCCACCCTGTCTACCTGTGGTGCAACTTTCAAAGAACTATCTACTTGAACCCCTTGATCCTTCTGTTTGACAACAGTCCCCAGGACCCTACCATTAACTTTATAAGTCCTGCCCTTGTTTGTTTTACCAAAAAATGTAATACCTCACATTTATCCAAATTAAGCTCTATCTGCCACCCCTCAGCCCATTGGCCCAATTGATCAAAATCCCTGTAATCTTATATAACCTTCCTCACTGTCAACTATACCACCAATTTTGGTGTCATCCACAAACTTACCAACCATCCTCTGTTAGCCAGGAGGCTGCAGAAAGAGAGAGGCACCAGCCACCAACAGACTGCAGAGACAGAGCGGTACCAGCCACCGACATGCTGCTGGGAATGCTCAGTGTAAAACTGTTGACACACGCAGGGAAAAACAATTGTGAACTGAGAACGACCTGAGTCCAAGTGCTGGTCTAAACCGATTGAAACCCTTTCGTACCAAGATGTGCAAAAAATTAAGAAAGAAGGGGTAATATAAAAGCCTTATTTAGACAAGGAGCAGTGAGGTAACGCTACCCAAGTCTTTGGTCCAGGGCTAATAAGGTAAAGGCATGTGATAAGCGGATGAGCCTGAGCCAACAGGAAGGAGATAGCACAACTTGAGAGAGATAAGAGATACAATAAAAAGACCCTCAGGGCATGCAGCCAGCGAAAACTCCAGCCACCAACCATCACAGAAGCAGACCCTATGTCAAGGATGTGGTGACAACACCGAGAGAGAGAGAGAGAGAGAGAGAGAGTTCAGCGCCTGGCCAGCATCAGCCCTCATTAGCAGCAGCAGCTATCCCACTTGGGTATTAGCTTATATATTCTGTGACTACTCATGGAATGTCAGAAAATAGGTTCTAGTTCAGTTTGTGGGAAAGTATATAAGCTCTAGTTTGTAATAAAACATACAAACAATATGTGTCTTGCTTAACACATTAATAAAGTAATTTGTGAAGTTATGAGAAATTACTCTTCTCCTCTCTGTACATGTCAGCACCGCAGCTGGCAATTGTCAGACTCAAACAGATTGTAACACCTCCAATCCCTATGGAATGTCACTGGTCACAGGCCTCCAGTCTGAAAAACAATCATTCACCACCCTCCTCTCCTACATCTGTCTCCTACCATAAAACCAATTTTGTATCCAATGGCAAACTCTCCCTGAATCCCATGTGATCTAACTTTACTAATTAGTGTACCACGCAGAACCTTGTGAAATGTTTTACTAAACTCCATGTGGGCAATTCTACTGCTCCGCCCTCATAAATCTTTTTGGTTATGTCCTCAAAAAACTCAATGAAGTTTGAGCAAAAACTGAACTGGACCAGCTCCATAAATACTGTGGCTATAAGAGATCAGAAGCTAGGAATTTTGTGGTGATTAATTCATATCTTGATTCCCCACTACCTGCCCACCATCTAGAAGACACATATTGGAAGTATGATGGAATATTCCCTACTTACATTGATGATAGCAGCTCCAACAATACTTAAGCTTGACACAATCCAGTACTAAGGAGACATCTGATTGCCACCACATCCACCACCAGTATTCACTCACTTCACCACAGTGGCAGTAGTGATGAAATCTACAAATTGCATTGCAGGAATTCAAAGCTTCTTTGGCAGTACCTTCCGAACCTATCACCATTACCACCTATTTGCCTTTTTCATCACTTGCCCACCATGAGCTCCCATCTGCCAGTTTTTCCAAATTGCAATCTTAAAGTTATAAACAAGGTGCATCTACACTACCCAGCTCTGCCACCTAATTTAGTGCTATCAGCATACTTGAATATCTGAGTGTCTCTTCATTTAAGGTAATTGGTAAGCACTGTATAAAAAAAATTAAGGCCCCCCGAGGAATACTGTCAATTAGCGTGTATACCCATTAAATCCTTTCTGTTTTGTACTTTATCCAGTTCACTACATTGATTGCTTAAGACATTTTCCACTCCTTCCCTCTTGAATCATTATTTATTTTCTGTTCATATTGTTTGTTCCTCTCTTGAATCTAATTAATGCAGTGGGCTGGGGAGGATAGAAAATGATGTGGAACACGTTTTTCCTCACTTACAAAAGTATGAAGATTTTTCCCCATTTTGTTTGATAATCAGAATGATCTTCTGTGAAATTCTTATATTGCAACACTCAGGAAGGCTACACATAACCAATGACACTGGTGGAACAGTGCCAGCACGGAACAAAGAGTTTTAGAAACAGGATAGTTCTAGTCCCCAAGTTAAAGTTCCAAATTGGGGCAAGGCCAGTTTTGATGGTATGAGACTGTTCACAGATAAAGGGATGTCTGGTGAGTAGAAGGCTTTCAAAAGCAAGTTAGTGAGAGTCTGGGCCAGCATGTTCCTGTTCCTGAAGGGTAAGGCTGGCAAGAGTGGGGATACTGGATGATTAGAAATATTGAGGCTCTGGTCAAGAAAAAAAGAGGAGGCAAAATTCAAGTGTAGATAGCTGGGATCAAGTGAATCCCTTGAGGTGTATAGGAAGGTGAGGAATACACTATTGGGAAATCTACAAGGCTACAAGGGGATATGAGATACCTATGGCAGATAAGGTAAAGGAGAATCCAAAGAGATTCTACAAGTATATTAATGGCAAGAGTAACTTGGGAGAGAATAGGATCCCTTAGAGATCAACAAGGCCATCTGTGGATGGAACCACAGGAGATGGGTGAGATCCTAAACAAATATTTCGCATCAGTATTTACTGTGGAGAAAGACACGAAAGCTAGGTAACTTGGGGAAAATAAATGTGATGTCTTGAAAAAGAATCCATGTTACAGAAGAGGAGGTGGAGGTCTTAAAATGCATAAAGATAAATCCCCAGGACCTGATCAAGTGTATCCTGGGACATTGTAGGAAAGTAGGGAATAAATTGTGGAGCCCCTAGTAGAGAATTTGTATCATCAGCAGCTGTAGGTAAGGGGTTGGAAGACTGGAGGATAGCTAATATTGTGCTGTTATTCAAGAAAGGCTGCAAGGAAAAGCAGAGAATTACAGCCCATTGGGCCTAATGTCAGTGGTGGGTAATTTATTGGAGGCGGTTCTGAGAGACAAGATCTATGTACATTTGGAAAGACAAGGACTGATTAGAAAAAGTCAGCACAGCTTTGTGCATGGGAAAACATGTCTCGCAAATTTGATTGAATTTTTTTGAAGAGGTGGCCAAGAAGATACATGAAGCCAGACCAGTAGACATTGTCTACATGAACTTTAGCAATACAATGTTCTGCATGGTAGACTGGTTAGTAAGGTTAGATCACATGGGATCCAGGGACAATTGAATACAAAATTGGCTTAATGGTATGAGACAGAGGGTGGTGACAAGAGAGGATTACTGTTCAGACTAGAGGCCTGTGACCAGCATTGTGCCACAAGGATCAGTTCTGGGTCCATTGTCGTTTGTTATTTATGTAAACAATTTAGATAAGAATATAGGAGGCATTGTTGGTAAATTTGCTGATGACACAAATTGGTGCTCAAGTGGACAGCGAAGTTAGAGTACAATAGGATCTTGATTAACTGGGCCAGGGATTGGTTGATAAGAGTTTAATTCAATAAATGAGACATATTGCACTTTGGTAAGACAAACCAGGGCAGGACTTACACATATAATGGTAAGGCCTGAGGTAGTGTTGTCAAACAGAGAGACATTGGGGCGCAGGTACAAAGTTCCTCGAAAATGGAATCACAAGTAGACAAGGTAGTGAAGAAGGCATTTGGT